TCCCTATAATTTTCTACTCCTTAAAAAAACTTAGTATCCTTCCTAGTGCGCTCTTCTGTCCGAAGCCGTTGGCACAATATGGGATGTTAGATTTGGTATACCGCGCACAACATTCGGCGTTAACATCCCATGTAATGTTCATTATTTGATGAATCTCATCACACGTCGAAAAATACCTTCTACGACCTACGTCTAATGTCACTAATGAGTTTCCTGCTTCCATGCGGCAGTTAAAATCAACGGAAACATCATTCCCTTTGACAGCTAAACCCACTAATTATAATGCATTCCTCCCTTTGGCGTGGGTTCGGGTCTTGATGGAGCCGGACGTTTTTCGAAAACACCTTGGCTCCCAGGCCGACCCAGCCTTGAGTGGGTACCAAGTGCAGTCCCGGGAAGTAAAGACGGCCGGCGTGATGCTGACTACATCACCCACCAAGTACCGATTGGTCTATCAAATATAAGTCTAACCATATATGCCCAATACGCCTAAAGGCGTAGAAAAGGGTCCTTTACTTTTGCTTTTTAATAACCTCTCCTTTGTGAAGTTTTTAAGCCATTTGCCTCGCTTTCGAAAGGTCATAGGCCAAATCGGTTCACTAGTGTTAGTGTTTCGGAGATCTCAGGGAAGTCGTCGCTGGATCTGTGGAGTTTGGTTCTTTGTTCGAGGTCCTTGGCGGACAACTTAGGGGTCGGTATCCTGCTATTAAACTGTAAAACAGTGCTCTTGTAATAACAGGCTCTCCTGTAAAGTTTTCATTTCATGAATGCATGGTGGGATTTAGACTTGATGAAACCCTAATCGATACAAAGCCATTAGGCTCCCTACTATTTCCAGTTACACTAGCTAATCTAAGAAAACTGTGAAATCTATACGCCGTTTAACTAAACGAATGATTGAAAGATGTTGTCTTTTAATTTTTAGTAAAATAAATACAAGACCTGGAAAAAAAAATCTTACAAAACCATGGATCAAGAAGAGGAAAAAAAATAGACATTCTAAACGAATTAAACATCAGGGAGAACTGGCTCATAAATAGCATCCAGTCCCGAAAGTTTAAAGTATTTTGGCCACATCAGGCATCCTGATTGTTTGGAGAAGACGGTGATGGAGGATACAGTTTGTGGAAGGCAAGGCAGGGGTCGACCACTGCGAAGATGGATACAGGACATTGAAGAAGCTTTGGAACTGAAAGCACATGGGGCCGGAAAGATGGCTAGGGAAATTGATACTTTCAGGGATGCCATGAAGAGAGCGACGTTCTGTAAAGGACTTGCTGGTTGATGAAAATAAATAATTAAGAAAAATCTGTATTAAAATAGAAATTGCAGTTTGTAAACAAAACCATAGGAATTTGTTCAGGCTCCTGCTGATGGTAAGGTTCTAAGTCAATGGTTCTCAAACTTCCTAATGCCGCGACCTTTTACTACAGTTCCTCATGTTGTGGGGACACTCATCCAAACAGTATATTCGTCACTGTTTCATAACTTCAATGAGTATGTGTTCTGTGATGATCTTTGGCGACCCATTTGATAGGGTCGTTCGACCCAAAAAAGGGGTCGCCACCTATAGGTTGAGAACCGTTGTTCTAAGCTATAGCTCAACTAAGTAAAGGAAGCTTTTCCACGTCTTCAGGCGTGATGGGCATATAGGGCTAGACCTATATTTTATAGACCAATCGGCACTCGGTGGGTGATGGGGTCAACATCACGCCGGCCGCCTTTATTTCCCCAGGGCTGTATCTGGTACCAACTTAAAGCTGGGTTGACCTGGGAGCCAAGGTCATTTGTGAAGAAAGTCCGGCCCCCGCCAGGATCTGATCTCAAGACCTTCCGATCCGCAGGCGAGAGTCTAAGCGTTAGACCAGGGCAGCTCTTAACCCGCCATTCTCCCAGTAGACGGCACAGAAAAAAATAATGTACAATTCTTGGGCATTGGAACATTTAGACGAGACTACAGAGTTAACCTTATGCCGGTTATGAAGCAAACGAAGTGACGAATGAAACAAGATAAAGCACACACGATAAGTAGTGGGTCTGTCTTGACCACGTCCGGCTCTATTTATAGTCTAAAGATGGGCGTGGTCTTGATAACGATATTCCCGCAAGGTGGAAGGTGGTTCTGGTGACTGCTACTATCTGTTGGGAAGAATTGCAGAACACACACACACACACACACACACACACACACACACACATACAACATACACACACGCGCGCGTGCGCACACACACACACACACACACACACACATACCACATACACACGCACGCGCGCGCAGCTAAAGAGCGTGCAGACAAAACAGGAATTATAAACAATGGATGTTAAGTAAACTTAAAAAAAACTGTCCGTCAGTCTATAATATATATATGAGGAAGGAAGATTAGGGGACAAAAAGAAGAAGGAGCAGAAGAAGAAGTATAAGAAGCAGAAGAATGGGAACAAAAGAAGAAGAAGAAGAAGAAGAAGAAGAAGAAGAAGAAGAAGAAGAAGAAGAAGAAGAAGAAGAAGAAGAAGAAGAAGAAGAAGAAGAAGAAGAAGAAGAAGAAGAAGAAGAAGAAGAAGAAGAAAGAAGAAGAAGAAGAAGAAGAAGAAGAAGAAGAAGAAGAAGAAGAAGAAGAAGAAGAAGAAGAAGAAGAAGAAGAAGAAGAAGAAGAAGAAGAAGAAGAAGAAGCAGAAGTAGAAGAAGCAGAAGAATGGGAACAGAAGAAGAAGAAGAAGAAGAAGAAGAAGAAGAAGAAGAAGGAGAAGAAGAAGAAGAAGAAGAAGAAGAAGAAGAAGAAGAAGAAGAAGAAGAAGAAGAAGAAGAAGAAGAAGAAGAAGAAGAAGAAGAAGAAGAAGAGGAAGAAGAAGAAGAAAACGAAGAAGAAGAAGATGAAGAAGAAGACGAAGAAAGCGGATAAACGGAATTGAGAATAGGGAGAAGAGAATTCAGAGGTAAAGGCGAAGAACAAGAGAAAAAAACACTAATTGCCATCACAATTACAGCCGTCATTGTACGGGTGGGGGCGCCAATGATTTTTTTGGATGGGGGGACTCAAAGGCTTGCACCTCGTTTAAGTACGCAATAATAATTATTATTATTATTATTGTTTTGTGCTGAGTGGCAAATAAATTCTTCTCCTTCTCCTCCTTCTTACGTTCGCTTGAAATATATTACTATCTGAAATATCAAATATGAACTTCACTGTTTGTTGTAATTCACTCAGCAACCTGTGAAGTTTGACTTGACCGATGTTTCTCGTGGCCACAAGTTTTGCCTTGATACGTTGTATTCGGGACAGTTTTGAAGGACGTGATCTGTTGTCTTCACTTGTACACATGGCTGATTCGCCAGTCTTAAATTTTGTGTATGTGTGGCTGCAAAGATGACTGATCTAAGACGTAGAGAAAATGACTTGCTCTGGTCTGTCAAAAACAATATAATCGTCTTTTGCCGGTTTTTTGTGGCTTTCTGTTTGCTTTCTGATAAAACAATATTTTTTAAATAATATCTTCTTCTTCTTCCTTGTTCACCGTCTGTAAGTTCCGATGGAAAGTCCTGGTTGTTCGTCCATTTGGACTTTTGACTTTGTTCCGAAGCCTGCTGTTTGCGTGTACATTTGTTTTACTTGCTTATTTGTGTGCAGATGTACTATGACTTCGAAGCAAGAACCCATTTAGTCGACCTTTACGACAGGCTTTTAGAAAAATGGGGGGGGGGGGGAGGGGGTAGGCAGTGGGCCTTTTTTTTTTTTTTTACATAGGGGCCCCGGAAACCACACGAGGATTTTTGACATAAAATGAAATGTTAAAAAAAAATCTATACTTGAAACCAGAACCTCTTTACGTGGTTTTAGTGACCACTTAACTATCCTGCAAATTTTATACGGGGCGGTGGTTCCTATGAATTAAAAAGCCATCACCTTCAAGTCTTCATTACTCATGCTCTTCAAGTGCGCATACCCGACTCCGTCTGGCCCAGGCGCAGTGTTCTTTGCTTTTTGCAATACATGTTTATATCCTCCACCCTAATAATATCCTCAAATACTTATCATTTATTGTATTAAACAGATTATTTCTAACTGAATTTCTAAGCTCCCTATCTTTATGATTAGTTTTGGCTATAAATCTCTTTAAAAAAAGCTTCCCCTTTCTCTTTGTCGTTTGTCATTGGTATATCATTATCAGTGTATATAATGCCTGTTGTAGTAGGTTGATCCTTCCTTTTGCATCTGTCTGTGAAGTCTCCAAAACCTACCCAGTGATCTATCCCCTCCAATTTCGCTCATAGAATGTTCCCAATTAGCCTTCTTTGCATCTGCTGCACGGCGCTTGAAATCTACCTTTTATACGAATATACCATAAGAATAAGCGGTACTGAGGAAACTGGGAATGAAAAGAGAGTTGCTAGGTGAAATAAAAAAGAGACAAGTGAAATATTTTGGCCACATTAAAAGACATAACAGTATTGTAAAGATCATCCTAGAGGGAAAGGTTCAAGGTAGGCGAGCAAAAGGCAGACAGCGTTACAAGTGGGAGGATAACATCAAGAGATGGACGAACAGCAGTATGAGTGAGTGTACATCAAGGGCAAGAGACAGGGCTTGTTGGAGATCCATTGCAGCCAACCAACATTGTGGAGACGGCACCTGATTGATTGATTGACCATAAGAATGCTGCCAACACTAACAAAATATGAACACAGCGCTAGCTTTTGTAAATGTCAAGAGTGCAGTGATGTCGGTTTTTGACTGAAATGAATTTATCCTTAAGATTGTGTAAGTAAAAAAAAAAAACCATCGTCGGAGCTACGGAGTTTGTTCTCTGCGCTCTAAACCAGTTTTCTGTTGTCAATCGTAAATACACATCGCTGGCTTGTCACATGATTAGGAGGAAGTCTTAAAAACCATGTGACTTATACTAGCCAATCGGCGGCCCGTAGAGAGGAGATAGCGTTGGAGTGTACGCCGATAACCGTGTAACAACCTTGCTGGGATAGCTACTGAATCCACTCAGACATGCCTAATAAACCCAAGAAAGACAAGGTTTGGCATCATTTCTTTCAAATAAATAACTGTAGATTGGTCGTGTTTGGTGGCGGTAGGGAAGGGTTTGTGGAAATATTAATATTTAATATCAGAATTTAAAACCAAAAGGGGAGCGCAGGTTTCGGACGGGAGGAGATATGATATCAAAAATTGTGCCAGTTTTTAATATTTATAATCAGAATAACGCGGAAATAATTGTTGTGCATTTTCCTTGTATTGCAGCCGACGACTAAGAATACGGGAAATGCTAAAACTGCTGGAAAAGACGCTAATGACAATGGTGATGACGAGGTAAGATGTGTTTTTTTATTAGGGAAATAGTTTGTTTATGGAAAGGGCGGCCATTACCTACGCAATCCAATATGGCGGAGTCTAATAAATACAGAGGTTTCAGTCATTAATTATTAATAGTGATTTGAATTCATAAATAATTTGATATAAATGTAACAGTACCCGTTTTGACTGAGTCTACCAGTGCAGAGGGACACCATAGGTGAAATTAAATTGTCAGTTTTGGAAAATATGTATGAAGCAGCACTCAAGCACTGTCAGTGTTGTCACCCATCTCTATGTGGTGGTAATCTGGCTCTCCTTCGAACGACATCATAATATGATGCAGTTCGAAGGAGAGCCAAATTGGCCACATTCTGGCCATAAAATATCCGAATGGGGCTCAGTTCTATTAAAAATATGCCAGCTCCGTATAACGAAACAAATGCTCATACAGGGTCTCGGCGATATGTTACTTGCGGACCTGCTTCTGCTATTGTGCCTCACGAGCAGCAGCTACCACATCTCCTGCAACTTCCTCCAATTACTTTACTTATGAGTCCCAGGCACCTAGTTTAGCCCCCCCATCCGCGGCGCGTGGGATACGCTCGGCGATGAGTTTAATCACGTTTTGCGCATGCCGACAAGTCGGACATCTACCGCTGCTAAATCCTCAATCGGAAGAACAGTATTGCTAATCGCTTTCATCATCTGTAATGTCTCAAAATTGTCAGCGGTCGCTAATATTGTCTGCAGAAACGCTCCAAATTGTCAACGGTCGGTATTTATCGTCTGCTACTACTGTGTGCAATGTTGATATTGTCAAGTAATCCTAGTTTTGCCACAATTTGTTCCTTGGCAGAAAGTCCGTATTTTAGATATGCCTGAACACCGTTTGGATATTTTGTGGCATCATATTATGGCCGCCATTTAATGATGCCGTTTGAAGGAGAGCTGGTAATCTTAGTAGTTTCAGCTTCATAGCAAACGGGTCACCCCATAGTTGCTCCGCTCCTGTGCCAACGAAAAACACACAGAATGTTTATAACAGTCTCTTGTGGAAAGATTGACAGGCTGCTGTCTCAGCATACACATGCATTAAAAGCATATGGTAGCCATCCGAAGTGACAAACAGATCGACATTTAAAATGCAGTTCATCATGAATGGGAGCCGAAGTCACCAACAGATCAGCAGTTGCACACGCGATAAATTTTAATCGAATAATGGTGCCACCAATATTGCGACAACAGGCATCACACTATTTTCTGAATCTACAATTCACACCACTACGTTGGTCACAGTAAAAAAACATTGCAAATGAAATCCGAAGCTCACAGTGTCATGCCAAGCACTCAACTCAGAAGCTGGGTAATGAAACTATATCCTTTTAGTCTGCAAATGGAGCAAAAATGCAACGGCCACCGTCTGGCATTAGCAAAGAATTTGCCATGACTCAAAACAGTGGCCGTTCCTAGCCACCGTCACCCTCCATACATGAGACTATTAGTATAAAATATTTGAATGAGTTAAACCAGAACACCATTCAGGCATGAAATGTTTATAAACCATAATGTTTTTCACTTTAGTTACTTTTTGTTCATGTCTCGCTTGCATATAACCATGGAGGTCAAGAATCACTAGTCAAGTTAGGAAGCATATAGACATTATAACTAACTATTGAACTACTTATGGGAACTAGTACCTGGCCACCTTGACCGGTGTTCTAAACTGTCAGGCAACAATAGTAACTTATTGGGGTTAGTGTCTGAGATTCATCAGTCCACCACCAGACTAGTCCATACGGGCGTTGGTGATATCAGCTCTGTCCATACTTTTTTTGCCCACATGCAATAGTGCAGTTCTTGACAGTTAGTCCAGTCACTCATTGCCCCTTACTTCGGCAAATACAGATAAATTCTTTTGTTGTTGCATTGTTTTGAAACACTTTCTTCCTTGTTAATCCTAGTTTGCCGTCAAATTTATACCTCTTCTCTTATTTGTAGGCAGTAAGTCTGTCTTGCTGTTTCTTTCTTATTTGCATACTTTCAAATCTTAGAGAAGAGAAGGTTGAATCCCAACCAAGCTCCACTGCACATCTCGATAAACTGTTGACATTCTTGGGAATGTCTTGCTGAAAAATGGAACATTCTGGAACATCCAGTTTCACTGTAATCAAAACTCAGTGTAGCCCATATGCGTACAGTCTTTGAAACATAATCAGTTAAATCATGGTTACTTTACACAACATTGAATGACACTGAAGATAAGAATGAAAATCAAAACTTCCTAAAATTATTGCCGCTTATTATTACTCTTTCTGCCATAGATAATTAGTATCTTCTTCTCCGCATTCTTCACATTCACTGGTTGTAAGCTCGGGTAGAAAGTTTGATTGTTTGTCCACTTCTGAACTAAAATCTTGTTCCAGAACTTGAGTTTTAGATGCACATTCACTTTACAGATGTAGCTTATTTGTATGCGGACTGTTGGTTCCTTGCCTGTCATACAGATGCACTCTGACTTCCAAAGAAGCGTCTAAAATTAGTTGCCTTATATGGCAGTGGGTCTGTTCTCTTCTCCCCACCCCTACCAAAATGGGACCCCTGAACCCACACAGGAAAGTTACCATCATAACTTATTTTGTCTTAGTTGTTAACTCAAGAAACATTATTGAGCCCACCTCTGTCCCAGATTACTTTTGATCTAGTACAAAAATGGAAATGTTTCAAAAGTGTGTCTGAGAATGAATAAAAGTGTGTCTGAGAATGAACAAACTTTTCGTTAAAAGGTTACCAGTTAGTTGCACAAGCCTATCTTACATTCAGCCCTTTTAAGATGTCAGATAAGGTGATCTTTCAGAGTGTCACAGTAATGCTAAGTATACGGACAACAAAATGATGTAAAGTTGACTGGTCCCATTTCTATGCCTGAATGCATATTAGGACAATGATGCTCGCCTCATATTTGTATAGACTAATTGGTAGTTGTTAGTGTGTTATTACAGCCCCCCTTCCCCCATTGTTTCACGATAGCTGTCCTGGGCTCAGTTAATCTGGTAGCCTAAAAGGCCATATTTAACTCTTGAGTCCCAAGGAACGCATCGTACGTTCATGGCTTCCTACCTAGAAGCCCAATGAACGCATGATGTGCAGATTTTATGACTTTATTTACTACCCCCTGGGCCTGTGATGCTAAACCCCCAGGGACTCAAAGTCCACCTCAAGATTAGACACAAAATTTAAAACAAAGACAAAAGTATTAAGTTGTCTAAGGGCAAAAATTTAGGAAAAACATGTAAAATGACACTTTATTTGAAGAAAATGTTATATGAAAAAAAAAATAAACAACTTTTATGAAGACTATGACATACACAGTAAAATATATAAATATAATGAGGGAGTTAGGAATTGTGTGTTAGTTAATTTTTATTGATTGAAAATGAAAATTGACTTAAAAACCATAATTACTTGGTTGTTGTTGACTGAATGTGCCAGTTTGTAAACAAATACAAAATTTTGTTTTCAGGCATCAAAAAAGAAAGCCCAGCAGAACACAGCAGAAACTCACCCTCCGCCTGCTGCAATAAATAAGATCAAATACCCAGGACCTCCTCATATAAAGAGAGATAAGAGGCAGAACTCTTCACGGTTCAATGTATCCAAAAATAGAGAACTTCAGAAACTCCCATTTCTCAAAGGTGTGGATTGTCATTTTTGTGAAATCTTTGCAGGCTTTAATTATATAATCTATGTTACAAATCACAAACTCTTTCAATATTTTGTGTGTTCATTGAAATGAACTGTTAACTCCTTTCAAGCTGACCAAATCACAGGTTAAATTTTCAATTGCTTTTACGGCTACTAAGTTTAATTTAACAGTTACAGTGATGGCCAAGTTATTCTACATTTTTTTTATTTATTTCAATAGCAGTAAAAGTAAACTTTCCCTGGAGTTAAATCTTTTTGAATTTTTTCTCTCTAACATTTCTTGAATTTGTTTTCATTTACATTTCATTGTAAACATAGACTGTAAGAAAGGGGCGTAAGAGGAGGTTGTTTCTTGGAAAGAACTGGTCTTTCCTACCACTGCACCTTGGACTGTGACTCAGGGGTCAGCTGCCACATCCTGTAAAAATGTATTTGCTACAGAAAGTATAGAGTATATCCAGACATGCACTGAAATGGATCATAGAAAATAATGAGGTCCAAGAGAAACAAAGATAAAAGTCTCATGTTGTGCTCGCTCTGTAGAGTTTCTACTGCAGTGGTAGAGACCAAGGCAAGAATAAAACTTTTGTTCACCTTCCCGGGCAATTAAGTCTAGTAGTCTTGTCATTTTTAATGGGAGTGGCTGTTGCTAGACAATGGTCTGTCGGTCCAAAGATTGTAGGCTCAGATCTGCATTAAGTCAGAAAATTTTTCTAAACAGTTTTGGCTCCTAGGTTGATTTCCAGACACTAGGTGAAGCCATGGGAGGTGAAAGTGGATGTCATGATGTTGAGCACCTCACCCATCGAGTGCCGATTGGTCTATAGAATGCAGAAAAAGGGGGGGGGGGGCTGTGTCACCATTAGTCTCTCTTTTGTCTATTTTATTTAATTAATGCAAGATACTATAAAACCTCAATAAAATAAATTCCAAGGAACAGAAAATCAAGTTCCTGTTAAAAAGTGTGTGCTAACCAGGAAATTATAATAACATCTCAGCTGGGTCCACAGTTTTGTTCATGTTAATCATGTGTTCTTTTTAAGCGAGTTTATGTTAATGATGTTTTATTGTAGTTTAGAAATGTTTATTTTTTTTTTTAATTTAAAGTGCTAATTTGATTGACCTAAATAATCTATATTGGTGATTACTCTGCCTTGACTATTCCCTTTTTGTGTGTTCTTTCTTCCACCCTGTGAGGGCCATTTTAATACTAGACTAGTTCACATGGTGGAAAATGGCGGAGTGCCCACTCGGCGTAGCAATGTAACTGAATGTATTGAATAAATGGCTATAAACAGACAGTGGTCATTGAGAGGAGGCAAGCTGGAAAGTGGGCCAGTTACGTCTTTAAAATACCTAAAATTTAGCATGTCTGTTGGGGCCTCAAGAAGAATATTTTTCCTCTTGCAACTTCTGCTTTGCAGGGTTTCTGTCTTTAGCCCTACAGAAGGTAAGGGGAAACCACCATAGTGCATGTTCACTGCATACTGCAGCAAACCAGTTTAAAATAGACAGCTTCCCAAGAGCAACCTTGCCTGTTAGGGACAGTCATATACATTGCATGATTCCAGGCCCTTAGCACTTAATACCAATATGCTGCTTTGGCTTGTCAGCAAAGTTCTTTATTTCTATCAAGATGCCCTTCTACTCTTTCTTTCTATCTTTCCAGAGATGGTAGTGTCCATTGTGCTGTAGAGAACAACCATGGGAATCCTTCATCCTAGAGATAATAGTTCAGGCCAGGGATGAAGTGTCTCTTCTCCTTACACAAAGCCTAGGCAGTTTTGTAGAGACCATGTTTTGGCCCATGCATATGATCCCTCTTTCTGCCTGCTTTGTTAACTCCAAGGAAAAGGTAACACTAATACATTTGGCCAGAATAGAAGAGCAGTTGTCTTGTCTGTCCTTCAGTCAGAGCTTTTGTAGACCAGCTGCCAACTAAGGCTAGTGGTTTGGTCTGCCCTGCCATAACATTAAGTTATCAGGCGCATATCCTCATTGTTATCAGTTGGTGTCAGAGTACTGCAGACACATCCATAGTTCCTTGTTATTTTTATGTACAGACAAGCAGTACCAAATATTTTGCTTATGAATTGACTGCATGTCTGCATGAAGGGACAGCACTTGTAACAGTGTGAATGGTTTGCTTTTCAGATGCACCGGTGGCGGAAAGAGAGGAGTTATTTATACAGAAGGTCCGCCAGTGCTGTGTACTGTTTGATTTTGTACAAGATCCTCTTAGTGATTTAAAATGGAAGGAAGTCAAGAGGGCCGCCTTAAACGAAATGGTGGAATATGTAACGCAGAACAGGGGCGTTGTTACTGAGGCAATTTACCCGGAAACTATTTATATGGTGAGTACCAACTTGTTGTAATGTACTTCTCGCATTCTGTTGTACTCCGTACTTTTTTCCCCTATATTCTTTGCTCTTGGTATACCGCAGGTACTTAAAATTGGCCCACTTTTTGGTGCTGACAGTTTAAGGAAGGCATTAATTGTTCAAAATTACAACTGAGCTTTGTGCATTATTTTAAAAATTATTATTTGTAATCAAATTTGCTGTATGTCACTATGATTTGTTTCGGCCTCATTGACTGTTGACTGGATCTCCTTGAATAACATAATTTTTAAAACATATTTTAAAGGGGGCGAAACTTTTTTTAAAGCTTTTGCAAGTTTTTAAGGTATATTAATTAAGATTTTTAAAAAAAAATAAGTCACTTATAGGAGAAAATAGTGAAAGTAAACATTTTTATTTCAGAATAGAGAAAAAATATAGATGCGATGTCATAAATTAATCAGTTATAAAATGGTTAAGTAAATGCAGTCCATACTTGAAACTGCTTTTTCCAGTTGAAGTGGCTATCACGTGCATTTAGGTACTGGGGTCACATTGTGGGTGGGAGGGGGAGAACAGATTCACTGCATCCCTAGTAGGCATGTCATAAGAGTCAGCCAATAAAGGGTCTTTCTTCAAAGTGGGAGTGCATCTCCTGTAAAACTGATGTGCATGCAAAACTCAATTCTGCAGAAGTAGTTAAACAACCAGAACTTTCTACCAGAGTTTACAACCAGTGAACGTGAAGTAGAAGACGTGTTTTGAGTCCACATACCTTCCATATCTGGTGGTGTGCTGTATACCAAGAGTTAGCTACACTTGAGTATTCATGTTTTGTAGATGATGGTGTATATTGAGTGTTCTTGTATTTTCTCTCCTACCTTTTGTCTTCCAGAGGAGCTTATGCTTTCAGTCAGCTCCAGCAAAGTTCTTTGGATCTTGTAGTTACAGCTTTCATTTGGCTGGTCCATGGTATAAAGAAAAAATAGATTCCCTGTTTCCCCTCACAAGTATATCATAAAAGCTGACAAATTAGGGGTTCTTCCCTTGAGTGCATCTACCTGAGATGTGAGGAACCAGCTGTCTGCGTACAGATAAGTCAGGTTTATAAAATGGAGTTTGCATGCAGAGCTCAAAGAGAGTGCTACAATGTTACATAGAACCTGTTCTGCTGTATGGCATCGAATCTTGATATGTCAGTGAACAAATTAAGAAGAATTTGGAAGCGCCAGATACCTGGTTTCTGAGATGAATGTTGCAAATACCTTGGACGGCCAAGGAAACTAACAAGGATTGTTGCAAACGAAGTTGGAAGCTGATGAAAGTAGATAATTTTATATACAACAATTATAAAGAGACAAACACTGTTTTTTTGGCCACTCTAATGAGAAGAGGCATTGGAAAACATTGGATAAAACTGGATAGATCATCAGTGGAAAAAGGAGTAGAGGCAGAGACCACGACGATTAATGATGCTGTCAAGGGTGTCCTGTTTTTTATATAAGTCTGCGCACCAATATGTACTTTTGAAACTTGAGGGTAAAACACTTTAACATAAGCTGGAAGATGAAAAGAGTTGGTGCTTTCCATCTTTCCTGATGACATTGCTCCCTTATGCTTTATTTTAAAAAAAAGTCTTATCCCCATGTCACCTCTCGGCAAACCTTTAAGAATAAATAGGTCCTTTTTTAAAAGAAAAACATTTTACACAGGTCCAGTAATGAATGTTTCCAGTTTAGTTATCCTGCATTTCTAGTTTTTCTTAATATATACAGATATCTTTAGGGGAGTAAACAGTAAAACACAAAACAGTGAATCATAAAATGGAATACATTTCTCGTAGGCTTATGTTTCTGGCAACTCATTCTGTGACCGCTCTATCCTGAGCGCTTTTTGGAAACATTTTGGTGATGCCAGCTTGGCTTTTAAAAAAGCTGCATGGTTCACAGTACGAGCTCTGCTGAATAGTCTTAAAACACTGGGATTGACAAGGTCTCAGTATAAAAAAAAAAAAACAGATATGTCACTGTTGAAGTTGTCATTTAAGCAGATTTGCGGGATTTGGGATCCTACACCATAAGTGCCTGGTTTGCGAGCTTCGTAAAAAAAGGCCTCTTCCAAGAGGTCTCTCTGGTATTTATTTTGTAAGACTTTGGTACACAGCAATAGACACGGAGAAGAGAATTCGAAAAGAAATAACATGACCTGAGGTAACATGGGGTGATGCATATAAGATGGGCAAAGGCGATAGTCCAGTTCAGTGTCATTTGGTTTTGAGCCCTGCACTCAGTGAGGACATAAAAGGCAAAAGAATTGTTAATGAGCTTGGGGCAGGCTGATAGTGTAGTAATAAATATTTGTTTGCTTTGTGTGGGATTAGTTGCACACTCTTTGTTTTCACCTTTCAAATTTTAGGTGTTTGCCTTTGTTGTTAGGTGTTGGGCTAAAACCAAAAAAGCCCTGTGTATTTTACCTAGTACGAAGGCCCCAAATCGAGAACTACATTTGTGCTGTTTTAATCACCCCTAGGGAAAGGGTTTAAAAAAAAAGCTTTGCTTTTAGAGAGTCGCAGGGAAGAGATTGGTTCCTCATGGTTTTGGCATTTTTTTTAGAGACAGGGGAGGGGGGGCCCAAACAGTTTTTTTTCGCACTGTTCTGGCCTTATAAAAGGGGACCATACGTCCCGGGTACACAGCCCCCCCCCCCCCCTCCCCTTTCCAATGTCCGGCCGTCCCGTCTTTTTTTTTTTTTTTTGTTTTCCCCCAAAATAAAACCGTCCCTATGGGAAAAGGGGGCCTAAATGGGCTTTTCTTGGAAGTCCCCCTTTTTTAAACTCAAAATATAAAAGGTACCCCAGGAATAATTTTCCCTTTCCTTTGTTCCATGCTCAGAAATTTCATCGAAAAAGGGGGAAATATTGATTAAAAAGGGTCAAAGAAACAGTTGAGAAGTGACCCTTCAAGTGACATTTATCGACTTAATAAACCATCTGGAGATAAAACAGGCCCTCTTGAAAGATGTTAAGGGGAAAATTTTTCAGTAATCAGGGCATCAGAAAGTGGCGGGGGGAAATTTTTTGGCCCCGAATTTGGCTGGTTGTATTTACTCCCCCTAAAAAGGGGTTTAATGGAACTGGGAAGGGCCCGCAACGACATAGTTGGTAAAAACAGGCTTGAATGTTTAAGTTTTATTGGGTGTTTGAAAAATATTTGTGTAAAGACGGGGTGGCCAAAGGTTGAACGCCCGGGGTTCATAAAGAGACCCGGGTTTTTAAAATTTCCCCCGTAAGGGGGGAATTTTTTCTGTGGGCGCAAAATATAATCCAACCCGCAAATCGTAAACGAAAAGGGATGACCCCTACGGCTGGGAAGTCTCGGCTCATAGACCAATTTTCCCCCTTCCCCCCCCCCCTGTAAACGCAAAGGCAGTTTAAATTTGGGGAAAATTCGGGGATTCATTCTCCCGCGGTTTTCCCCGTGGGTTTTTCCTTTTGTTCCGGGGGGTTGGCATTTTTCTTTCCCATCCCAAGTGTTTTTTGGGGTTTTAATCATTTGCATTGCCCCTAATAAATTTTTAATGCTCAGTCCCTTTTTGCTGTAAAAAAACCCCCAAGAGAAGTTTTAGTACAGTGCCCTTGGGGCTTTTTCGGCAAATGATTTGGGATTAATGTTTTGGGGGTTTAACCCGGTTGAAGGGAGCCCAAACGGGTTTTAACAGGTAAATACCTCCCCTGCCCGGGCCCGAAGATTTTGGGTTTTAAATCGGGGATATGTGTCGATTTGGGCCCGGGCCCCCCTCGACCCAGGCCCAATTAAGGGACTAGGAAAAAATCATTGGGGGCCCAATAGCGGGCCCAAACCCTAACCCGGTTTTAGGGCTTTATTTTTCTGTGAAATATGTCCAGGTACGAAAGCCCACTTGGCCTGATAGGGGGCCTTAACTTTACTTATTTAAAAATCGTAAAACATGGGCTTGAAAACAGCTAACCCCCACGAGGTATACCCGGGTGATGATTTTTTTTTAACAAACCCGTCAAACTTAATGGGCAGTGGGGGTCGTAAAAACGAGCTCCGTTTTTCTTCCCCACGGCCCTTTGTGGGAAAAATTTTTAGCTAAATTTCCCCGGAAATTCCCACATTTTGGTTTTAAAAATATAAAACTTTAGGGTTTCGGATTGGAACCGAAAAAACTGACCGACAGTACCCAAAACAAAAAAAAGACATTGTTTTTGGGGGGGGCCCCTGAAAAATTTAAAAAGGACACTGATGTATTTCGTTTCCGGGGGGTGGCTGAGATACCTTTTTTTTTTTAAACCCTACGGTCATGGGGGTAAAGGTACACGGGGAAGGGGGCTAAAGAGTTTGTCGAGAAAGCCGGGGTTTCATGCCTTCCCACAAAATGGTAGCTTGGCGGGCTTGCTTTAGGGGCCCGGTTTCTCGGGTTTTGGGAGATAAAGGGATACAAAAGAGGGGAAAAATTTTTTGAAATTTTTTACTTGCACAGAACGCTGGAATCTCAGGGGGGAGATTGGGTTCCCGTTTTCCCCGGGAGGAATGGGGGTTTATTCTGTCTGGGGTAAATCAACTTTCCCAACCCCGCACAGTCCCTGGCCCCTGACTAGCCCCGGGCCCTAAAAGTCTGAGGCTCAAGACCTCCTCTCTCCCCAGTGGGTTTTTGGGGCCCCTTTGTGGAGGAAACCCAGAATTTGACCAGCTGCCTCCAAAAAGGGGTCCCACTGCTTTTTGGGGGGTTTTCCCAAAAGAAAACGAAAATGCTCTGCCCGAGGGCGAGGAAATAAAAGTTGCATACAAATAAACCCGATCTATGAAACCCTCATGGAGGGAAAAACTAATCTTTTTTTTCCGGAAATTTTCGCCGGTGGACCCCAAAGAAGAAGAAGATCCCCTGAAACACTATGTCGGCGCCCCGGGTTTGAGGGCCTACAAGCCCCTCAAACCCCAAAACGGGGGGGGCAAAGGGTGAAAGTCAGGGGGGGAGGCAGGAACCTCTGACCCCCTCTGTCCCCTT